ATATATATATATATATATATATTTCTATTCTTGGATGATAGATTCGACACTAGCTCAAAATGTGACAGTGAAAAATAATATGGAACATGACAGTGCAGCTATGAACAATAATATTTTCTACTGCTTACCTTGTATGTATTACGCTTTTCCCCTTTCGATATTACACGATCTTACTTTCCTTGAGAAGAAGAAAGGATACATAAAAAATTATTACTAATAATCATTATTAGAAGGTATGAGGCTCTTACGGTACGTTCAAAGTGAGACTCACTCACTGACCAGAAGTGATTTTGTACACAGTACATATTATTTAGAGAAAATATAGAAATAAGTAATAGATTATTACTAATATTCAATATTAGTAGATATAAGGTTTTTACGCTACGTTAAAAGTTAGCTTCAAGGACTGAATGCTTTTCTTATGTACATTCAAAAAAGGTTATATAAATATAAATAAGTAATAGATTATTACTAATAATCTGATAGTATTCTCTTTGTATTACTATCATTTTGAAAGGGTACACTTTGTTGTGACACCCTCACCAACACTTTCATATTATTATTATTATTCATTTCATTTTGTTTTTGCACACCTAGTATCATATATTAATATTATCATTTGTAGCTGTTTTATTTTTGGTGAAAGCTTATAAATAAATTAGTTGGCATAAAGATTTTGACGATACGTTCAAAGTAAACTTTCCCGACTGCACCGCCGAAAAAAGATCTAAGAAAATCAGACAGGTTAATTTTCCTTATGATCTCAGCAGTGTCCTCCTCTTCTAATCCTCCTCAATACTTATATTAAAAGGTTTTAGAAAAGAAAAGCGAAAACAAACAGATGTATTTTTTTAATTAGGCCTGGGATAATTGCAGTCAGGATTAATTGTCCATTTCATTGATGTCTAAATGCATTTAAATGACTGGGTAACATGTGCCGAGATTTATGACAGAAAAGCCGCTCGACTTGCAGCACACTTCAGAGAAATATAGAAAAATAAATCCTACTCGAAAATACTTAATTTGTAGAAGTTGCAGGTACTTGACACATTGTGCCAAAACCATTGAAAACTAAAACCAATTACTTTTTTTAATGCTAAAATTAAAAATAGCAACAAAAATTTTTTTTATCATTTAGTAGGAATAATATTATAATATCATAAGACCTTCTAAACTTATAAAACCTTATAAACTTTTAGCCCAAAGAAAAGACCTTCACATAAGACCTTCTGTGAGAAGAAACTGAATGGGTAATAAAAAGGTAAGTGGAATAGTATTTACTTCTTCATTATAATTTTATAACTTTATTATATTCTTATTATATGGATAACTAAATAGATAAGTTATACCTTAACGTTTACTGAAATTTTACACTTAGTCGTGAAACTGAATTACGTGCATAAACCAATAATATCTAGATAACTATATATAAGAGAACAAATATATTAATGAATACGACACGAGTTAACATTTAATGTCGATACAAATAGTGCCTTAAGGACATCAATATTCGAGGATGACATCTGAAATTAACTTTGCTTTACCACTTTAGTTAGCGCGACATGAAAAGGTGAGGAAAAGCTGTTCAACCGGTGTAATGAAAAATAGAAAATTGGAGTGACTTACAGCAGTAAGACGTCGAAAACTCGTTAAAAATAATCAAAAAAATCAATGCTTCAGTGTGAAAAGATAAGCGTGTTCATAATGCCGATTCCATACAACCATACGAATGCTTTTTTTTTTTTTTTTAATCCTTAAAAATGCCGCAGTTTTTCTATTATTTTCCTAGGCTTTCGTGCTATGAAAGTAAATAACCCGGCAAATATGATAGATATACGAATGATAATTACGCAGGAAAATCGAATATATTAGGGAAAAAATGCCAACCTGAAGTATCGAATTCAGGCACAGCTGGGTGAAAATAAGGAAATGAAAATGGAAAAAAAAACACAGTACCTTGCTTGGCCTCGTAAACGAATGTACAAATGCCGTCTGCAGTATCCAAAGCTGAGTAACTTATCCCTAACTTGAGTTTCAGCTACAAATAGGCATTATTATTTACGGAACACTTTTGTAGAGAATATGAATTCATCGAGCTCGGTGTCACGTCTGTCTGTGTTGGTCCCAGAACATCTATTACGATACCTGGAATACCGAAATGCATGATGGACTAGGTTCGTGTGGGATGGTCAAACGCGGTACCGTCTAATCCTCGGTAGTCTTTACCTCGGTTTGATTTTTACCCCTTTTCTTTTTTATTTCTTGTCTTTTCCTCTTTATACCTTTAATTTTTCTTTTCTTCTTTTATATCTTTCTCGTAAAAATCCGAAAAAGACAAGAAAGCCATTAAGGGGAATAAGATAAACGAAAACAAAGAAAGTAATTAGAGAATACAGTGAAGAGAATAGAGGAAGGAAGAAAGAAACAAATAACTTAAAMCATGTAGTTTTGATAAGGAAGTATTTAGTTTAAAAAAAAAAGTTTTTAGCCCGTATATTTATTAACGTAAATTCCAAAAAAATAGCTCATTAAACAAACTCAGCACTGCCATAACATACGCATGCGCGTCTTCTTTATATTCAATTTGTAAGCCAACACACACAAAAAGCACGCCTATCGCTTACGTTCAAGTTACATTGGTTTTACCGACTTTTTTCTATCTACTAAGCTCTAATACGTTCTTGCTCCGATTAAAAACTATTCTGCCAAATAAGAAATAAGAAGCGTTAGATAGAATAGTCTACTACTTGAAAACCCTTAGCAATAATAGGAGTGTGTTGATGAATACGCCTTATTACTATCTTCCATTATAAGACAATGCCTTCTAATACTTTTAAATGCAACCACATCCCTATATACTATCACACTAGTATCCACACGCTCACGCAGGCATCGAAAACTACATTCTATACTAACTACTGTAAATGAAAATTCAAAGCCAATGCATTTCTGCGAGTAAGATTGTAAAGATAAGAATCTTCCGGGGATTACTGTATGTCAAGATCCAATCAGAAGATAATAAAATAACGCACTTTAAATTAAAAAATTGCTAGTTGTCACGTACTAAATGAAAGAGCGACAGATTTTCTTTGCATCATCACCAAAAGCTATGGGAGAATGAATATGATGACACGTTAAGGACGTTCGCGGGGAAATGAAGTTGCAATCAGACTTTTTCTGTGATACCCCAACATATTCTTCATCAAAAATATGAGGTCACCGAACTCGATTTTTGGCTAAACGCTGAGGAAATATGGTATTCATTGAGGAAAAAACGCGCGCTATAGAGTAACCTAAAGGATCAAAGAAACGCTTTAAAAAAATCAAAAACATTAAAGAGATGCAGAAAAAAAAATCATGGGCATTAAATATGCGCGCGCTTACTATACTTATGCGCAGTAAGGCTGCGCACGAACAATGCCCGTGAACGTAACGCCCTTTAGCTAAGCCGCTGAACTTAGCAAAAGACGTAGGAGTTCATAGAGAGTTTGCGTCTTGAATCATCTTATTTTTAGCAATACGTTTATAGGTATTGGTTCAGACATCAATGCAAATAGAAAAGAGACGAAAATCAACGGGCTTTGCCGAAAACAAATATTTTCATCCCGACGACCATTGCAAATGAATCATTCAATTATGGAATAATGAAATAATACTGAACTCAGAGATCTTGTCTAGGAGGTTTGTAATCCATGTCTGAATGAAAAGACGAAACGAAAACTAAGCTTTATCGGTGAATTGGCAGTTAATCCCCAAAACAAAGTCATTGGTTTAATACTAAAACATTGTAAATGTTGATTGTAAGGTTCCTTGATGTCCAAGGTGATTATTTTAGAAGAGTCCGCTTATCATCAACTGATTCATCTTGCCTGGGGGACGAATGATAATCGCTCAGCTAACGCAATAAACTGAATCTCCTATTCAATTTGTTCCGTTGCTTTCGGACCAATAAGCATCGACTTTTCCTAATCGGTTTGAATTAAGAACTAATGACTATGGAACGAAATTTGATAGAAAAATAGATAATGTTTACAAACAAATTATTTGGCATTAAAAGTTTCTAATTTCGTCATGGGCTATGTATTTTAAGGGTTCTTTGCGACGCGTGTTGCAATATCGATATACTATTGTTAATATCTACACGATATTATAATAATTCCTGCATCGAACTCAAATAATATATCCTACACACACACACACACACACACATATATATTTCAAATCTTTTTTGGGTATGCCGCGGATCACAAGAGATTCACTGGTGTATTTTAGGTCGATAGATAGAATAAACTGATTTGAACTTGTTTTTCAAGAACTTGAGTCAAAAGTTGGTGGTTTTTTCTTGCGAACAGTATATAGTGGTGCCTTTAACTTAACAAGTAACATTAGCAAAAACCTTTCTATAACATATCAAGAATATTTACCCATGTATTCTTTCTGTGGTTCTTTATACTCTTTCAAGATCACAGACTAGGTGAACGTTTTCTACCAAGTTCCACTTGAAGCACATTCAATCGACAGAGATTCTAGTAAACTGCTTGAAACTAAAACCTCGTTAAGAAGATAATAACGATTCGGTGATGGTGTAACGTTTGATGATAGAACCAAGTAAATGTGATAGATAGCTCACCCCCTGACTGACGTATATGGGGGATGTGAGTGTTTTTGGAATATCGTATCACGTTTTTACACGAAACAAAAGGGGAAAAAAAACAAGAGATCGGCTCTACGCTTGATGTCTCATCTCGTCACAATCAATGAATACAATGACAATACCTTATTATCAACATTTTTTATTCAGTGATTCTACTCAATAAGATTGATCGGATTTTYATTTAGCTCAGGAAAAGACGTAATTTATGTTGTTTAGCACATCAAAGCTTTCTCTAACCAACGATTAACGAATCATTCATTCAGGCTTTTAAGTAATGATATATGGAGGTCAGAACGGAAACCATCGTTCTACTGCTCCAGTAAAAACGTCACTTAATTGGTTTCTTAATCTATTCACCATAACGGAAGTAGCACACATCTAAATATATCTCAGCTGCAGATGATATTTTCCTGGCGTAGTTTAGTTTATCAACTGCACACATAACTACCGCTGACCAGTCATTCAACACAAGTAGACTAAAGGTGATGTGTATCAACGACATTTAGCTTTTCTCTTGCTTTGAAATAACTAGAGCAGTTTTCGTATGACTGTGAAAAGCTCAGTGCCGTAAGCGTGACGTGCCGTGACCGTGATTCTTAATTTTAATTGACTGATTTTTTCACGCGCAATGTGATTGGTCTTGCATTGCCGTGACCTTGGCGTGACCGTGTCCGCGCCGTGTTTATGCCGTGTTCCGGGTATTTGATTGGATGGAGAGTAAATTATCATGTAATGTGATTGGTCTGGCGTATCCCTGGCCGTGTCATAGCCGGGCTCGTGCCGTGACTTTTTCACAGTCATACGAAAACTGCACTAACAATACATAAATACTTATGGTTTGAATGTCAAAAATGACTAAATCGCTGTGTGTTAATTTTCTGTATTTTGAAAAGTCAAAACTCAATATGAGGGGGAAGATGGTGATTATTAAGGATATGGAAAATATCAGCCACAAATATAATTTTTAATTCTGGTTTGAGGCAATTTTTATAGCAGTCAATATGTCATCATAGTTTGGTTTTTTTGATGTAAACTTCCTGCCCTTTTAATAGATTTTTTTCTCGAGTATGAAAATTGACGGCGAAAAAAAGTTGTGTCAGTTCAGGAAGGAAGTATTCAAAAAATATAAAAATAGTATTTCTAGTAAATATGTATATAAATAAATGACTTAACTCAGTGAAATATCTTTTCATGGAGTACTTAAGTTGACGCAAGCAAAAAATTATGTTAAGCTGAAAGAAAACTACTGAAAGTCCTTGAAGTCCATTATGAATATTATATAGCCAAATATACAGATTATTCAGCTTAGTAAAAGTACTTTTTTTGTGCTCGAGTTTATGCATTAACGCGAGCCGTTAAATTATGTCAAGTGGAAAGGAACTATAGAAAGAGCTTGACGACGAAATGAAGTTTAATTAGGAAAATACATGTTCATAACTGTGATGGGGRRAAAAAAAAAAAAAACCGGCTCCACGCACCTGCTGTACTGGTGTGCGGTTGACTGACTTTTACATGTAGAATATGCTAAAAGTAGTCATTGTTTTGCGATGAGATAAACACTAACAAGTTTTTCAATATTTTGAATGTCTCACCTCAGTTTATTTTTCTTGCTTTTCTCTTTTGCCTCTTCGTTCCTTGCAGCTCACAATCCCCCAAGGAAGAAAAGATTCCAAAATGAACTCAAATATTCGGTGGTACTGATCAATAAATGATTCTGAAACGTGTGAGTTAAATGTATACGTAAATGCATATTAGTTTTATATGGAATAGAAAAACCCGTAAATGCTATGGCGACGCACTTACACAAAAAGTAATAATAAGTCTGCTCATTATTATGGTCAGCTTCAGACAAGCTGTTGGTAATAATAAGTGGTTTGCAGAATGGTCATAAAAAAATTGAATTCGTAAACGTGCAGTCTAGAAATAACAAAATTAGGTGTTTTGAAACCATTTGGAAGCAGCTGTGCATGGTCATTATTGATGTAATGTAATAATGAACCATTCTGACATGTTCACTGTCTTCTCGTCTCACAAGTAAAAAATGATATTAGACTTCTTGAACATTTATCTTGTTATTTATWTATTATTGACTATTTTATTTTGGGTAATATTTGTGATATATCCTTCCTATACCACGTGATAATCCTAATATTCAGATGCTAGCATTTGATTGGATAGTTTTTCTGATATCATATGACATCACGAATCTATTAATAGTAACATTAGTTAAAGTGAGTGAGACATGACAGCTTGTGAATCCATACATAAAACAAATCGAGTTTTGTTACATTAGTGCTGAGAACTCTTAGCAGTTGAAATGAAGATCTTTTTTTTGACATTTCGCATGCTAGGGAAAATGGCGGGAAAATCGTGAACGCTTGTCAAAATCTAGAATGATAACAAATTCGTCAAAATTAGTCAAAATTTAACATCTTAGTAGAAAGTCTTAAACATTAGTCTTAAAAAATACAAAAAATTCACAATTGCTGGTTTGAACATCTAGAGTTTAGCCAAACATGCACAAAGCTGTTTAACTTATCTATATTGTATGTGAACTTTGATGTGCAGCAGAGGATTGGGCTGAATTAAAGACCAGTCAGTAAACACGGCAAGAATAGGCAAGAATTGAATAGGTTTTACAGTTGGTGAGGTTTACAATTCTACAGATCTATTCATCGAAACTAGACACTGTTTTTATTAAGTAAGAAAGTCTTTTGATTTCCGTCTTACCCTATTCGTATGCAAAAATGGCTCATGTCAGACCTAATGTTGTAAATATATTAATCATTGAAGGTAATTTACTCCGAATTCATTTGAAAATGTCAAAATTGAAGAAAAGAGCTGGCAGTGCGTATTTTACCCCCCGCTCTCCATCAGTCGGCTGTTTTAAGAGTATTAAATGCAAAACCTTGACGGATTAGATAGAAATCATTTCTATTTTCGTTTTCCATTGTTTGTCAGTGACATGACATATCCTGGTCTTTCATCGAGGGAAGTGTTGTTTGACGATTTTTTTTCTCCTTAATACGTCAAGTAAATATATGTTATTTACATTTACCGGCCAGTAGGTCCGTTAGGCCGAGGTCCGCTTTCATGACCGAGGGCACAGTTTTCCCTATCCGGACCGACTATAGGAGGACTATAAATAACTCATTTATTTTATCCCGGTTTTTTTTTCTTTTGTAATCGCTTTGTTTTGTTGTTTAGCGGCAAAGGATACCGGACCGCGTGCGCAGGCAGATACTGACAAAATACCGCCCGCTCAAACAGCCAATCAGAACGCACGATTTTTTAGGATACCGGACCGGAAAAAAATAAAGTGTGTTATCTGTAAAGGCCTTAACGAGCCAAGTACTGTGCTCAGTGATAAGGGGCAGTATACGCTTCCGTTGTTCCCCTTCAGAAGTGAGGAGAGGTTTTGTTGATCGTATCCTTCCTTGACATCATCAGTTCGTGCCCATAACTAGTAAGATATTTCCCTCCACTCTCGCCCAGTCAGTTTTATTATAGATTGTTGGGTGCATGGATTCCACTTGTGTTAAGTGTTTGCTTATCTTAATGATATAGTCTTCCCACCCACTGTAATCTTCGTTAATAAGCTTCTTAACATTAACCGTACAAGGAGGATTATAAAGATACTATATAAGATTTCCCTGTACTTAGACAGTACTACACACACTTATTATCTACAAATCCACTACAAATATCATACAGCTCGATACTCACTCTTTCCAAGCGTTTCTCTCTGTTGTTAGCTACGGTTTCAGTTTTCATTGCCAAACCTATATATATATCTCCTATGAGGGGGTATAGTTATTAACCAAAGTTTAATTATAGGCCCTATCCAGTTGATACAGGTCTCGTGCTGATGTCTTCTTTTTAAATTAAACTTTTAAACCAAGCTCACGCTGGCTGGAAAAACCATTAATTTTAAAGCACTTCATGTTTTGAGAGGCCGGCTTGCAGCATATTACAAAGGTTACTGGTGAATGAGGCCTCAAAAAAGTGTATTACAATCAGTAAGTCCAATGGCACTGAATTTGCGAGTGCTGGAAAATAATGCAGAAAGCAGAAAGAAAGCAGATGAAATACTATATTGCATATTTTGATGCTAGTAATCTAACAATTTTTGAAAATTATTTCTTTTGCAAGTGGGAATCAGCAACGATATGGACTATGCTTTGTGGAATGAAATAGAATGAAATAGAATGAATGAAATCAATCCCACTTACAAAATCATTTGATGACCCACGAATTTTACACTCTTGCCCCAACACCTTTGTTTGGTCTCGACATAACGATAATAAAATAATCGCCTTTCCATTCATGCTCTTATTCTTTCACATTGTACTCGACTTCCAGACTGGATTTGTTCTAATTCTCTTAAATCAAGATTAAATGTTATATACACTTTGCTGAGAGTGGATATCAATGCAACAGTAAGACACTTGACTAAAAACAATGATCTTATCCCTCTGTCTTAATCGATTCTCAATAGTTTTGCTGGCTGTGGACGTGTGCTCTAGCACGACGCCATTTGCTCGGTCGAGTATGCTCTGTAGCAGTCGTGTTAAATCGCTCACGATTTACAAAATGAAGCTATATTGAGATCACTTTAAAAAACGTCTTGGAAGCGTAAGTTGTAGTTTTGTTTGAGAATAAACGCGTTAATACGAAGAAAAATCCTTAAGGCATTATAGGAAGAACATCTCGATCTTTTTTAAAGCAGCAACGAAAAGCCATCGAATGTTGGCTTAGTTAAATACGTAACTAACAATGAAATATTGAACATATATTGTTATATGATGTTAGTGATATATATATGTATTTTTTGTTATTTTAAAGACGTTTTATTGGTAAAAAAAGGGTCACCTTACTTGTTAGCTTCTGTTCCTCCAGAAGTAAAACTCAATCTATATTTGTCTCTATGAGCAACTTACCAATATTTTTTGTCCGGGGTCGTGTTATCGTCTGTTCCTCTTTAAATTCTCTCCCGCTGTAGACCGGTTTTGTTCTATTCGTTTGAATTTCAAGCAATTCAGTCTAGTTAGCAGCTCTACAAACACCAGCAAAAAATAATAATGAATTCTCTTCGATTCAAAACTGTTTGATTCTGCTTAAATGTGCTGCTACATCTGTGTAAATACCATCTCTTCAATCAGTCCCAAGATTCATTACGTGAGATGGACGTTGCAACGGAAGCATGATTCCAATTAATTCTTAGTGATCTAAATATATCTGTGATATCTATTGTGATATAGGCTTCTACTGATAGAGTTTTCAAATTGCCCCCGTAATTCAGTCCTGAAATTCACACACTTTAAAACGATTGGGCGCTTGTGTTAAACAAACCAGAAAAAAAAACACCCTTGCTCCACATTTAAAATTTAAAAAAAATTTGTTGTTAAAAGTGATTTGATATGAAGAGTAAATTACATACAGCCTTGATGTAATCTCGATCAGTGCCGCTCTAGTTAGTGTGTTGTCCCTATCTGACTAATGGTACATGACCAAAAAAGGACTTCTAATAATGAGAAGCCTGCTGCAGTACACTTTAGTGTTTTTCTTCGCCCAAACAGGTAAAACTACTTTTAGCTCAGTTTGGATGGGTAAATAGGTGAAACTACTAGGAATGACAGGACAGAAAAACGAAATTTTTAAGCGTTTCATTTGTGTCACTGCTGCACGAAACGTGACGGCATATTGTCGAATTATTAGAGTAAATCTACTTAGTATTCGCGAACATGTCAGTTTTTCTGCTGATCAAAATATCACCTTTCCCAAAGTACACGGCTTTATATCTCAGATACGCATTCAATAAATTTTGGTCGCATTTGATATTTTGCTATCTGACTCCAAAAGAACGTGTTTAAAAAATATTGAGCTTAAATACGTAAAGCTGTCCTTATGACAAAAGGCCAAAAACCGTTTTTCTGCCCTGTCACTAGGAATTGTTAATATTCTGCTTTTGATAAGAGTTCAATAAAACAATTAACTTCCAAACCACATATAGTGACACTGATATGGATGCCATGATATGGATTCCATTTACTGATATAAATGTATGTTATCCATCACCCACTTCCTCACACAATCACACATACGAGCATAAAATATTCATGTTCCAAAACAAATGCCTACGTAAACAATGACAGCTTTCTCGAGTTCCGTGATTTATGACCGAGAGCTAGGCTTACATCGCCCAAGATCTGGCGTGTGCCCCCAAAACTAAGGCGACGTAAACTACAAATTTAACAAGTGCGGTATCTTGATAGCTCACTTCGGGATCTTTCTATTTTTCAAGTATTTTTCTTAAGAATTTTTTTATCTGTCAGGAGGTCCCCATCTTTTTCAAGACAGAGGGCATAGTTTTTCTCTTTTACAAATAACCTATATATTTTTTCTCATTTACTTTCCCACTTGTTTTGCAATTTGTTTTGCTGTTTGATAATTCGTTTTCCCATGCGCGCGCTTGGATGGATGATGTTAGCCTTACGTCAGGATACCGGACTGCAGGGACACGAGTGAAAAACGTCTGCGCATGCTCTGAATCCGTGCGTATGCAAATTGGTCAAAACATAAGTAAATTTGACTTTCAAACATGCCTTGGACTTAACAAAATTGGACTTCACAAAATGCCAAAACTTAGTGTCCATGCTTGAAACTTAAGACTAATTCTTTCATATTGTGTTTGTTAATACAGTATCTTGGTCTGACAAAAGTATACTCTCGAACTTTTTTTTATACTTGGAGAAAACAAACATTTATTTTCACTCAAACTCTTCAAAATTCTTAGAAAACGTGCTGAAGTGCACGCATGCGCAAACGTTTTTCCCTTGTGTCGACTTCAGGTAGAGATAGAAAATACCGCCCGCGTAGCCAATCAGAAAGCACGATTTGTAAGATACCCAAACCGGGAAAAAATGATAAGAAATATTGATCTGCTGCTCTTCTGACCTGAGTTCAGCCTATTGATGTATTATTAATTTAAAATCTAATATGCTTCAAATATGCTAAGGAGAAGAAAAAAACTAAGCTTAGTTCTGTTGTTTTGAATTCTACCATTTTCAGTACCGCATGTTACTTTTATGGACGTGCCTAGTTTTTGTGTTATGTAAGGCATAATTTTCGTCGATGACGCAGAGAATGATTGCCCGATCTCAATGGGGGTCAGGTCTAAATCGGTTTACATCAGTTTGAATAACAATACTGATTTTAAGAATAAGAAAAAAAACCTTCGTTACATGGGAGTAGCAATCGAGTTCAGGACTCAATCCTGAGACCCAGAGTTGATAGTGACTTATAAATGCTTTTGAACCAATAAAAATTATTAGAAGTAAGACACAAAGGTTGATTAAGTTTAATTTTTTCATTAGTTACTACCACTGAATTGAGCTACAGTCTGATTAGGGGTAACTTACCTAGTAATAGATGCTAATATGTAGTCGATACTGCTCGATGCTTACGATATATTAACTCTTTCGGCTCACTGAGGCGTGGTCAGTCGAAGCGCAAATAGACCTGCAAAAAAAAAAAAAAAAAAAAAAAAAAAAAAAAAAAAAAAAAAAAAAAAAAGCGTAAAAAATAATCAATGTTAGAATATTTTCATCAATTTCCTGTTGTACTGCATAGGTTCTGATTACACTCGTGTAAATTCATTAAAAAGTGAAAACTGCCGGTAGTTTTCGTGGTAATTATAGGATTGATATAGATAAAAGGTAAATATAGTTAGTATGATTTCCGTCTTTATTTCCTTTTAACCCCGTAAGCTATACCCCAAATTAATGTCCTCACAAGAATCCGCTAAAACAACAAA